CGAGGCATTCCGTCCCTTGTATCGGGTTCGTGGTCGATTATCAAGGCAGGATCGCTGTCGTATGCTAGCCACAGCGGAAGCGGTAGGAATTCGGCTGCACCACCCCCTTTGTGTGCCCAAAAACAATTTGTGCAGGCGCTTAAGCTCCCCTGGCCCACCCCCTATACACCCCATATTCCGAGNTAACAATTATGCGATCACTGAGAATTCCATATCCGGTCCCAAGATGAACTTAGCCCCAGATAACCCATGAGGTTATTTTCCCTTTCCCGAAACATTTGTTTACGTTTTTTATGATTGAATACTGATTTATATATAAACAGCGTAATATTTATTGTGATGTATTTGGCATGAATACGAATCACTGAAAACGAGCTCGTTCGTCACTCCTTGTTCTATTTGAAAATGTGCTCTGTGGGACTGTTTAGACAAAACAGAACAAGTTGAACAAACAAATTACTCTGAATTGATTCAGGTCAAGGCTTTGACCGTCGGCCGTGAAGCTCAGGATTGAAGATTTCAGGCCCGGGTGGGACAATTAAATCTACACCTCTGACGAATCCCAACAAGAACGAAACCGCCGTCCAGTGTCCTTTGTCAGTCGTTACAAGGACTTCCATCGCAAATGAGGTTGATGTTATTGGTTCAAATAAGTTTAGTAATCACTCTAACTACTGGCAAACTACCAGTAGTCAAATTATAAAATTGCAAAGCTGCGTGCTACTGGGAGCGGTCGGATATGGGATTACGGAAGCATAGACAACTGCCACCAGGACCATGTCAAACAGCATCAGTAACCAATTCAAGGGTACTAGGAACTGCATAGAGGTTTCAATGAGCGGCATTTTTAATACGCTAGCTTTTGGTAGCAAGCCATAGCGACAAAGCGGAAAGCAACAGTAATCCACCAGGGGTAAACTTCAAAATTCACAATACAAAAAAATATTGAGAAAACGAGTCGGTGAGCGAACAACTGTTTTCTGATATTCCTATGCTTACACAATGGTAGCCATTGGCTCAATTTAAAGTCATTATTCGGAGGAAAAGAGTACAGGTGTGTGTGTTGATGTGAACTTCCCCACTTGGATCAAGTGACACATCATGTTCTGCCTTGGTTTTCACACCCGACCAAGGTAACTGGAGTGCTTGAATCAGTCTTTTTGGGCACACAGGTTGGGGCCTAGCAAGCGAATGGCGATCGCCTCGGCCATAGCTAGTGTCCAAACTCGGACTGCCCTCGATCGATTGAGTAGGATGCAACAAACAAAGGTTTGTCGTTGTACTCCGCAAGACAGTGATAATGAGTGAATAGGATATCTGAAGTTCATAACTGGACATCTTTAAGCTTCACTGATCGCTGCTAAACTCACAATGCACGCAAGGTTAGTCATAACATGTAAGGTGGATAGGTATTGCACCTGGCTTGAGGAAGGGGAAAGAAAGTGAACCCTAATTTTCAACACAAAGTACACAAGCTAACTATGCATAACCATCGTTTCAAGCATTCTGGCCTGATAAGAAATGACAAGAATGCCACTGCTGTTGGTTCGCTGTCATATCCTTCAATGTCTCCCAACAGCCAGCGGCGGAGTTTCTCGGACCCGAACCTGGAAGCCGCAAGACACTTACTCTACCTCATCGCTCTGCGCATTTGTGTATGCATTGGAGTTTGATGGACGGCTACTTCTAGGGTGTCCAGCCACTAAGCAGGAGAACGATTAGGGTTCTCAACCAAAAACTTTAGTTCTGAGAAGAATCTAACCGCAAGGCAACGGATGAAGCGAAGTAGACACCCATTTACCTAGATCGATTACTCCTCCACCAATTTTGATCGACTGAAACGCAAATTCTAGTTGAATCCCCAACATGGTGGACCAGGAGACTAGAGTTCGTCTGATAGCTATCCTTCGACCTTCCAGGTCTGATTAGATCTTCGGCTTGACAAAACCTATCCTGTGTAGCTCGCTGGGTCAGAGAGGTGGACTAGCCATCACACCACATCAATGTGGAGTTTCGCTCCCGGGACATCCTTTATCGATACCAGAATACGATAATTTGATAACGTAACATCTTACATGGGAAAATTAGGGACTATCTGCTTTTGATATTCTTCAGCAACCCTAAATAGACAACTTAAGAACAATTATATAAGTTTCGAATAAAAAATAAATTTGTGGCATCCTCCTGACACACCATCTTGAGCATTGCATTTTAATGTCCCTTGGGATACCGGCCTTATCATATCTAAACTGAGCCCGAAACTGCGAACATTGTCCACATACCATTGTCAACTAGAAAGTCTTTCAAGTAAATAAATCCAACTGAAAAGGATTGAAATTCTCCTTACCATCGATTGTCCCATTTGACCAGCTGTCGAATGTCGTAGCACACTTGGATATCTTCAACCTCACACTGCGGATAGGCCTCTCTGTGAACCAGAACGAACAAGCGGATAGATAGCTCCGTAAAAATCAAAGCAATATTACGTTTTGTCATATAATGAGTGGATTGCTTAAAATAACTAACTAAAATTAATATAAATGAAAAACTATCACATTTGTTGACTGCAGTGAGAGTAATGGTGGGATAACAGTTTAAGCGAAAGTTCAGAAAAAATGATTTGGCAGAAAAGACGATACGGTGAACACTGACCAAGAGCAGCATTGACGAACTGACCTCACGAGCAAGCATAGGTAAATAGTTTCCAATCAGCTAGTCACAATGATATGACCCCGTCGAAAGCGCTCTGCATGACTATTTGGAGTCTGAGAATGCGGCACTTAACGATTGATACGTGGCACCTAATATGAACCCTCGTGCATGTTATATCCCAATTCCTTGGCTCGAGCTGATATGTTCACGGGCATATTTTTCGCAGGTATGGTAAGTTCCAACTGTGTTCGGACTACAGGTGGAGCGGATGTACAAAAAACAAGACTGGCCTGAAGTACGATGAAACCAACCGGCATGTGGATGGTCCTCATCACAGAAGAAGGTTGAAACAGTATGAAAAATGCAACAAAAACTGAAACTGAATGGATGACGCGAACAATCAAAGAGACGGCCAAAGGAGGCAACGAGAATGTCTCCCGAAAACGTTTCATGTTCGATTAAAAACTAATATCAGATAGTTTCGTGTAAGAACTACGATTCAATCCTGACAATGTTCATTTTATCAGGTGAATGGAAAACTACTATCATTGCGGTATTTATTGTTCGAAAGCCACCAATAATCAATTCTTAAATGCGGTCACGTGAATCAAAGCCATACATATGGAGTTAAAAAGAATAGATAACTGAACTTGTAGTCAAAAGAAAAAAATAGCTCAAACAAGACACCATCAATTGAACAGATCACTAATGCCTATTGTTTACTCTAGTAATGGTACCATAGCAGTGATGTTCGTGTAGTGGTGTAAAACACATTACTTTATAATAGAGACAACTCTGAAAACTCGATAGTCCACAATAGGTTTGTTGGACCCTGGGGTAGTGAAGTGAAAAAGGTTTTAGTAGAAGAAAAGGAAAAAGAGGACGGTATGAATGTCAGGATACTAAATAGAAATGCGACAGATAGGTATTGTTGGATCACGGATATATATATATATATATATGTATATATATATATATATATGTATATATATATATATGATAATGAGTAGTGTGAATGACTGAGCAAAATTTCCCCGGAAGCACACGACCGGTTTGGCGGTTCTTGCCGCTCGTCAGGCATGCGTATCCGCTAATCTTTTGCCAGTTCATCCATATACTTGTACCCAGGAAGTGTATTTACGTCACAATAACCTTGTTTGCAACACCGAGTTACCATTGGATAGACAGCTCTTTCAGAACCAGTCCAATGAAGAATCGATGCTATGATTCGATGTTTGTCAGTGGGTTAGATGCTACTGAAATACAACGGCAGGGTACGAAAAGGAAATATCTCGATAAACCTTACCTAAAATGCCGCAAAATTAAATCGCGTTGACAATTGGATCTTGATATACCGGATATCATCAACGTTCGAAGTGACTGGAACGCGGAAAGACCATTTATCAGATGGGCATAGGGCAGAAAACAGATTGGCGCAAAACGACATGACAATCAGCAATCATTAGTTGTTTAAATCTGGGTTTCAGTATTGTAACTAAGTGTATATGGGAAAGGGGGTCCGGATAAATCGCATGAAACTGTGCCTCAAAACACAGGCGAATTAAGAAGTTACTATTGAATCATTCTCTGACTGGGGAGAGAGCGAGATAGTCAATCAATAAGATGCAAGATGCAGTGAAATCACAGTTTGATTCTTTACATTGAGACATGCGTTCTGAATACCCAGTGCATGATGCGCATGCATGCATCGATGAGGGGTTGTCAACACTTTCCGACTAGAATTTGATAAACTAATGGACTCGCAGAAACAAAAGAGGTTCACGTCCATCCACGGTTATTTCGATAAAGCGGGATGGTAAAGATATTGCTTTTTGATCTTTTCGACAATAATTTACTATCCACCTTTTACACAAAATAGAGAACCAAATGACTGCCGATTAAACTAACACGATTGAGTTTAGAAGTGACGGACGAGTTTATGTAATGTTCCTTCAAGTACCCGGATGAAATCGATTTGAAAGTAAACTTCTTTGACGACAGAATGAGAAACCGCCGATTAAGATTACTGGCATAACCAATCCGTATGACAGTTCACAATCGAGGCGCCACGTAAGCAGACATTCCCGGATGAGCGCGATAAGACGGTATAAAACTGGTCCAATTATACAGAACGGCTTGTCCCTATGTTCATGGTCGATAAAATCAACATCAAACTGAAAAACAAATGTGACGCTAGAGGGCCGCGTCCAATCGTACAACAGAGTGATCGATGTTGAAGAATGCAGTGGGAATCATGTGATGCAAATAATTCAACCTATGGACCGTGTGCTTCTTAAGCATGCATACGGGTATCTACACACAGCTATTAGAAATGAGAAGAGGATACAACGCGAAAACATGTATCTAAAGTTATGGCGAGGTAGGACAAACTGTGATGCGTCCGACTTATATGAAGGTGTGCACACGTGATCCGACTGCTAGTAACTATGGAACGGCAAAATACCGATGATAAGGTGCTTTTAATCAGAAGTAAACAGAAGCAATCGTTCGTGAATACATCTACATCCATCCTCATCAGGCTTTTGCCGAAACTCAAGGTTCATTAACCACGATGTTTAAATTTCAGCCATACTGCCTAAAGAGAGTTGAAACAAAAAGTATCGGACTACTCCGACTTTGGCGGAAGTTGAAAAAATGTTTTTTACAATGGCTGATGTTGTAAAGCTGGGGCACAAACGAGGTGTAGTCATCATATACTGAACATCACAATCGTGTCAAATGCTGCACCGAAAATAGACGGAATGTTTAAACGATGCGCCCGTACCGTTCAGTCACTTGACACGTCCTGCATGACTGCGGTACTTTTAGTGAACCAGTTTTTAATGTAATAAACAAAGCGGCGAACTCAAGTATATGAAAAATTTAAAAGCTTACTGGACGCTTTATCTGATGGGTTAAAAAGGGACTGTATGGTAGGAGAAAGTGATTTCGTAGGTTGGTATGTAACTGTGCATTAAAAGCCCCTCGAAGAACGGATGCTTTGTCGAAGATAAAGAGTATTGAAAGACCTGGTTGTTTAGGGAATTCATTTTTCAGGATACCAGCGATAGCAGGGCATGCTAATATGTTCAAGTCAAGTCGTCTTTTTAGGGTGCATAGATGCAACAGTATCGTATGATGTAGTTAGTTTCGTCAGTGTGCAAGCTCAACTTTGCCTTCTTGAACCGTTGTGTAACCAATCGCTATATCCTACTTTTCTGTATTTGACAGTGTCCGAGTTTCGCCTCACGGGTTGAATGATCAGCTTTATGATTGATTAGTAATTTCTATGCAGCAATTGATCAATGATTATCTTGCTGCTCCCTGTGCCAGGGAAATCTTTCTTCATCCTCTCTTTAACTGCTTCTCGTCGACAATAATACACAAATGCTTTTGAGTTCCTCATTCAGCTTCGTCTTGTAAGATCCGGGTTTGAGAGCTATTTCCCGACCTGTGGTAACTTCTTTTCAATCAACAGGTATACTTGTGCATTCAATTACACTCCGTCGCTCTTCTGCACTGATTAAACGATAGAACCTTTTGCATTCACATTGACGTTATCCATATCGTTCAATTCGCACAATGACACACTAGGTACAACGAATAATGCTGTCGCCATTCCCCATGCGCTTATATTGGCCCATTGCCAACGGGTGAAAAAACACATGCAAGGGAAAAACATCCGAAAAATGCAACTCCTGTAAGTAAGAATACCAAATATAACATGAAAAGTATAATGTTTTGCACCTGAAGAAAATCAAGACATTACAGAATAAGGTTTCTTAGCTTCGTCTCAAGAAATGGATAAATTAACAATACGAGGAAAATAAACATTTGACGCAAATGTCGCCCCCCCCCTCTCATTAGTCATTACCCTATCCACGTTGCAACAATGGATACCGTTCAAGCGGTCGACTGCGCGGAACACTATCACAACTCGTTTGTTTCCCCAGTCTTGAAACATCGAACAGTGTAAAACAAAGAATTTTCAACATTCGTTGATCTCAGAATATTCCGACATTTTTACCGGAATCGCTTACAACAGTATGGCTAGAGTTTGTGCATGAAGTCTTAAAGACTACGGGCATCGGCGAAAAATTGCGGATTTTTCCTAAAACTTGATGGGGAAAGGTGTAATCAATCGGCGAAATGTCACGTTAGCACATTTTACTACAATTATATGGTAAACTGATTGGATCAGTCGCATTGATTGGTCACGCTTTCGTGGATGAGTAACTCGTGGAAGATAATTATATACAAGACGATGCAATCCGTCTGGCTTCGAAATAGCGCTTAAGACTGACTTTTAGCGCAAGCTTCGAAAGTATGAAAAATGCTATCAATGGTGCCATTATACCTTTTTGTTGTTGTTGGTGGTGGTGGTAGTAGTAGTGGTACGCAACCCGTTAAAACATAGCGGAAATGCATTCTCCGGCTTAATTGAGAGGAGAATAGAATCTATACGTAGTGTGATGATACTATCGCTGTTATTCAAGAGTTTTCATCGTATGATAATTTTAATCAGGAAGCTGGTTAACGTGTGAAATCTAAATGGTTTTAATCATTCCACTACTGCCGTTTTGCATGAAGCAAGGGTCTCCGCAGTTCACAGACCTACTGAGAAAAACACTCATCGTCACAGATTAAACATTGTGAAGTAAGGTATCCGATAAATAGAGGAAATACAGGGGGGGAATCCACTTACAAACTGTCGTTGTTGAGACGCCTCTTGATGAAGCTGTTTTGCAAAGTGTTGCATCAGGAGGAAGGCCACCACGAAGAACAGGAACCCAATAACCACATGAGCCCATAGTGAAGGAGAATCCCCGGGTAAATTGGATATT